TCTACTCTACCCGGGCGGTCTAAGACTAAAGTCCCGCTCCCTAACTATTGCACATAATTAAGGACCGCTAAGTATTCAGTAACTAGAGAGAAACAATTTGTTGAACATTTCAATTGCGCGGATGTTGCACCTTTCCGTTGCCACATTCATTTTGAACATTTCCTCGTGGATTCTGATACTGAATGAACCTGTGACTAAGTGTGTGTGTGTGTGTGGGTGTGCGTCTGGTCTGGTCTGGTCGGTCTGTGTATGTGTGTCGGTGTGTCTCTCTGTCTCTGCGTCTGTGTCTGTGCCTGTGCCCGCATGTGGCAAATGCTCACTGGTTGAGGCCACTGGGCAATCAAACCTGCCTGGAATCAGGAAGCCACCTGGAAAGTCGTTGGTGCTCAACGTGAGTTGGCCATTGCTCCAGGAGGCCACTGTGTTCAGAAACGCCAGGATGGGCGACTGGCTGGTCTCTTCCTGAGCCGGGCACTTCCGTGCCCATCCGTGGCTGATGAAAATCAGTCTTGCCGTTTGTCACCTGGACTTGTCTCTAAGCCCGGTTAGGCATTGTCAGAGCAAAAGGGCACAACAGCCTACTACATGAACAAGTCATTCTTGCTCACTTCCTCAGCCCAGCCTGCAACGACCGATGAAGCTCGAAAATGACATCCTTCCTGGTCTCCCATTACATGAGACCCGAGTGCCCCAAAATGCCCAAGATCTGTACATGCTCTCCACCCAGGCACTGAGCATGAACGCACACAACTCATCCGTCCGAACCACCTGTTTAAATTTGAGACACCTCCAGTGGGAGCTTTCAACAAAGACAGTTCCAACCCAACGGCTTTCTTGGAACTCGTAGCTCTCTCAGCCCAAGCTGCCACCAGCACAAACGTCCATGCCCAGGTCTCAGGCACGGTGCAGCCTTGCCACGGAACTCGCAGGTCTCTCGAGCCCGGAGAGGTACCATGTTTGGGTGCAGTCAATAATTCACCAAATCAAAGCAAGGACCAGGTCCACCCCTGGATGAACTTTGAACGACCTCTCTAAGACTTTGCACAGCTAGTTATATACCTCTGATCTTGGATTAAGATAATGATCACGCAGTAAAGGTATGCATAGTCTATATCTTTATAGAAAGAAGGGAAAACCTACACACGTGCAGACAGGGGATGTGCACCTCTGCTTTATTTTCCAGCCATCCTTGGGAGCTTGAACCTCCAAATAAGGAACGCAAGGACACCAAACCAAATGCGGTGGGGAATTCGCAGCCAGATGCAAACCAAGCCAATCAACACTTAATACCTCTTGCGTTTGTTGAATGTTATCGGGGAGGCGGGATAGAACTTGCCTCAAACGCTATGTCGTCCCTCTGTCACCAATGCCGCACAATCTTCTCAGCCACACCTAACCCTTCCACTCTTCATCAACTACGGAAATACATGAATCCTTCATGCCAGGAACTCTCAGGCTCTTTGACCTGCGCAAGCTAAGTGTTGCGTCTGTTCTTGGAGTTTTGTGCTTTGGGCACCTTCCAATTTAGGAAGTGCGCCCAGGGTCCCGGGTCGCCGCCTGCGCTGCCCTGCACGCTGGCCGTCGCCGGCCCCAGGTGTCCACCAGTCTGAGTGGACACTGCCTGCAGGTGCTGCCGTAGAGCTCGTGACACGCTGGTGGAGTCCCCTAAACATGTTCCAAGCAGAAATCAACCACTCGACTCTACACAAATCTCCTGTACAAAATCGGATGTTCATGGAGCATATCAATTAGAAGCACGACAAAGGTTCAGCTGCAGGTTTGTAGTATTAATATCCAGACCGCTCCCCTACTCCCACCCCAAAAAAGCACAGAAAACACCCTCTCTGGCACTGCCCCGGCGCTTGCCCGACGGCGCCGAAGCGCGAGAAAGCGGGCCTCGTCACTGGCCCAGGGCACAGTGATGCTCACCGGTGGCAATGCTCCATTGGCGATCTCGATGGGCCATACAGAGACTGCACCCTGCCCGGCGTGGCGTGGAGGCCAGGCATCGCAGGTTCCACGCCAGGCCGCGGGCCAAGTTGGAGGATCAGTCTTTGTTGGGATTGACGATGAGCTGTAGAAATTGACGATCCAACAGCCTTGAGGTATATCGTTCCAAACTCAGATAGGCCGCGGCCTCCTCAAAAGCAAGTCGAACGCTCAAAGCCAACGCGCTTTCATCTATACTATAGTGTCATAGACCATCTGTTCGTCCTTACCTCCCTGCTCTATTCCCACCAAGATTTACAGGTTCAAGGCTTGGACGAGTACAGTTCTCTTCATGGGAAGAAGAACTTCCCACGGTGCCGGATGAAGAGCAAAACTCCTCCATAGATGGGGCACTGGGATGTAAAACCCACAACGACATCACGGGGAGACTGTCTTTCTTGGCCCCTTGACAGGACCTGCTCCGGTGTTTGAAACATGGTAGGCTCAGATCGGATGTGTGATGTTTCATCCTGCCAATCCCATCCCTATAAACCCGGACCGTTCGGACCAGTGCGTCCCGGCTCGGGACCGACCTTTCACGCAACCCGTTTCGGCCGGGCCTCGGTCTCACCGCTGCGGCGGGCCAAGACCTCGGGTCGGACGGGGTCTCTTCGGGGGTCGCCGCCCAAAAAGGAGCGGCCGGGGGGTGGGTTCTCCTTGAAAACGGGCCAGTTGGCGATCGTCAGAAAAAGAGTCCCTCAGACTTGCAAAAGGCATCCCGCCAGGAAACAGAGCCTCGCGACGAGTGGCGAGGGTGAGATCGGAGGCCCCGACTGGTATCTGGTTGGCTGGGAGTCCAGCATGTCCGATCTCTTTTTGCTCCACCCCATCAAGTTCACAAATGGTGGGGCGTGGGTTTTTGCTGTTTTTGTCAGCTTGGCAACACCAAGGGTCATGGATCTTAGAGCAATGGCCTTCCAAAAGGTGGGATTTTGAACTGAAAGCCCTCAACAACACACAGAAACCTGACCCTTCCTTACAAAGAAGCGATTTTGCTGCCAGCATCGCTTGCAATCGGAACTTGCGTATGTGTATGCACATGTATAAAAGGAATATCAACATATATATATATATAACAATCAGAACAGTGGCCCTGCACCTGCTGCGGGCCTCTTCAGCACCGTCCCACCCAAACGAACTTGTGAAGCCTCGGTCGGAACGACTTCCCAGGAACGCTGAAGTTGTAGAGGCCCTCGATCAGCTGGCCTCCTGGCATCGAGGCCCCGATGGAAGGAGATCTCCGGAAGGGACGCCCCCCAGAAGAATGCCGTGGGGAGGCGTTTTGGGATGCTCCAGGCAACCCCCCTGAGGGGGATCGACGGGTGCTCCATCGAATAATGGTCCAAGATTGCAACCCTCAACCCTGAGAACTCCTGCAACATCGGAATCTTAGGCAACTCCTTTGATGTAACATCCCCAAGGCAACCAGGCAATGCAAGGAGGGAAGGAGGGCAAATGGCCGCATGTGCCTCTCGCCCTGCTTCATACCCAAAGGGGATATGGAAGTTGTATGATGTTCACCCTCTGTGAGGTTGTTCGTGCAACTCCCAACCGTTTAAATCCAAAATGGCCATCTCCACCTACTTGGGTGCATAGGGCCCAACGAACTCCCACCAGGATTGGCTTGGAAGGGGGAAACCTCAAGTAACAGTTGAATCTATTCTATGGCCTCACCTGGCCTCTACAAGTTTGTACTACAGTAGAAGTCTTGCAGGAGCCCCTCTTTGATCTTCAGGCTTCCATGCACTGCACAACAATCCCAACCAAAAAATTATCAACCCATTGGTGGAGTGAAGCATTTCCGTGCACCCACACCTGCCAGTGCATACCGAGAGGGGCATCAGTCAAACCCTGGGTCGAATAGCAACCTCACCGCAACACCCACACCTGCCACCAGCAGCTGTGCACTGGCCAAGTCTGGAGAATTCAGGCCGCAGCTGGCACCACTCGCGGTGACACAGGACCACTCGAAGACCTGGAAGCGAAAGCCCAACTCGGCGAGGCAGGGCGACCGAAAGGAACCAGCGATGGGCATCTTGACGCGCCGCAGGGCCTTCAAGCCCCCGAGTCAATGGCTGAACGCTTGCCCACTCAAGCGCCGCTAGTTCGGAACGTATGACCAATCCCTTTTCTCTCGTTCTCAGCCGGTGACTTCGAATCCAAGCCCTGACCATCCAACGAAATGAGGTGCCCATTGCTGCGACAGCCCGTTGCTGGGCATCGGGCCAAGCCCGACGTGCTCGGGGGCGGCAGGGAGGGATCGTAGGACTGAGACGCATCGAGGCCTCGGTGGAGTGGAAATCTAACGTATACATCCGATTAAAGATCATTTATATACAGTATATGTATACATCCATCGGAAAACATATATATATATATAGTTATTATAGTTATTAAAACTGTATGTGTATATATGTATAGCCTTGTTTACAAGTGGTTTAATAGTCATAGTCATAGTCTTTATGTGTCTTTATACCGAACGACCCTGCTTTTCCTGAGGCAGCTTAGACCTATACTAACCTTCAGCTCAAACCTGTCTCTAATATCTTTGAGTGGTCGAACGGAAGGCTAGCGGCTAGGGTAGAATCCGAAAACAGGCCGACACCTGGTCACGACATCGATCACGCCTGGGGAATCTGTTCAGATGGAAGGGTAAATTTGCCAAGGGTAAGCCGGGCAAGCAATCTGGAGCCGGGCAAAAAATCTGGAGCTGCCCCCACTGGACTCATCTTCAGTTCCCTGAGCATCCAAGTGTTTGAAGAGCCACTGAGGCCGGACCCATTGCCCCCCTGTTTCGGGGCGCTAAAGGCCAGTGGCCAACATCGAAGGACTTGGCATCGAAAAGGGCCGACCCCTAAAAACATCTAAAAATCATTGGGGAAAGCTCCGATTTCTAGTGATGTAACATACGTACAAAAAAAAAATATATATATATACACACACAGTTTTATTTGGGTTTATTGATTATAGTGCGCATCTCAACATGCATTAAACTAGATTATCTGAATCATAGTTCCGTAACCAGACTGGATGGTGCCCCAAACCCGGAAACCGGACTCCTTGGACCCGTCCAGGCCACTGAAGCTACAAGCGCCTGCCACCGTGTGCGGTCCCACGACTCGCACCACGGGCGCCGCCGGCGGCAACACCGTCAGGCTGAAGACGTATTGCCGCTGAGCAGCCTCAGGCCAAGCGATGATCGAAGCTCGGCACCTCGCGCCTTGAAAAAGAAGGCCTTCCAACTAACCCCCGAAGCCAATCCCAATTGGCATTCTTCTTCCCTTACCCCCGCGGCTGGGCACCCCTGCGCTGCTCGCGCCCTGGTACTGCGCCGTGACCCGGAACTCGTGCGCGGAGCCCGGGGCGAACACGAAGCCATCGAAGCGTACAGCCCCGGGACGCCGATCCAGGTCGGTCCTGAGCAGTCCGCGGGTCGTCGGTGCACCCGGTTGAGGTGGTTCCAGGCAGCCCACCTCCCACCTGACAAACATCACTGACCTTGTGTCATCCGATGTTCATTTCTTCTGATCAGCCAGGTCGACTCAAAGACCAAGCTCTTGCGCCCTGCATGCGCCCTGCATGCCACTCAGGCTTGAACCCCCTCATGTTGTGCCTGGCCGAGCTGCAACCCCGCCGCGGCGAGATCCTGCCAGGTGCCGCCCGTGGCTCGATACTCCCAGGCCACGTCGATGGGGCGAACCGAGGAGCTGCTGCCGGAGCAGCTGGAAGTGTCCACCTCAACGCCAGCCGTGGGGGTCGGCGAGGCGAGAGGGGACGTGATCGACCGGAGGAACCGGTCTCTGGGTTGATCTAGCGGATAGTGTCTCTTTCTTCCACCCAACAGCATGACCTTTTTGTCAGGTCCGTGAAAAAAGGAGGGCACCTGTTCAACCCCACGCTTCGGTTCCCAGGCACCACCGACAACATCTGAAAAGGCTCCAACCAAGAGCCACCACCCTTTTCCTCCCCCACGCCAGGCTGCGTAGGAGGTTTGCACCGAGAAGGCCACAGGCTCACCTGGGAGGACGTTGGGGGCTCGAAAGAGGTGGGTTTCTTGGGGGGGCGGAAGTGGTTTTGGCTTGAAGATGGCCCAGATCGCCCTGTGAGGAAGATCAACACCAGAAAGGGCAAATGAGGCAAATGCATGCAAATGCTTACTGAAATTACTGAAACCCCACGGCTGCCTGTTTTATCCTTTTTTGATATGCAGGTGGATTGAGCTGGCTAGCTACCTCCGCCACCGCTTGAAAGCCCCGCAAAACAGCATTGGCCAACCTTTGCAGTCTCCTTTCCTCTGCTGCGCTTTGATTCGGAGAGGAAGTCCACTATAGTTTCCCGCACCGGATGGGGCAACCGCTTGCTCTCAACAACGCCTTTGTTTGCTTTCCTGAGGCATTCTTCTATGTCCTCAGGCATCATCATGATCCTGCTCAGTATTCTTCGAAGGTCCTCCTGCCATTGCTCATTACACGTGGCTTGCATCAACTCCTTCGAACAAAAATCCTCAACAAGAAGTGCCCTTGCATGGACCAGTCTGGCTTTCCTGGCATTTGCTAGCACAAAAACAGTTGGACCACCTGTCTTTTCTTTGACAATGGCTGCCACTCCAGAACTCAGCAAGTTACCTCTATTTCCATTTTGGTATTGTATTGTGTCATCGGGGTCGCACTCCTCCTGGCCGAAAAACCACACTTCCTGATCTAGGCCGTTCGCATCTTTGTACTTGCATCGATTCCCATAATTGAATGAATCATGGCCCAGGCCCAGCAACTCATAGTTCATGTTGCTCAGAAGTGCCCGAAAGGTTGCCAAGGCGTTTCTCGAACACATGGTGGAGCAAATGCCCCACTGCAGTCGACCTTGCTGCTGCTCACTCTGCAAGAACTTGATAAGCTTCTCGGCACCAGGCCTGACGTGCAGCCACGATGGGATGCCGTTGAAACCAGCGTCCTTCTTGACTGCATTTGAACCTGCTCCGACCAAAAGGTGCCTCTAAGGGCACACAGTGTGCCAACATCGAAGGGTGGGGATCGTGGCATACACCTGCACCCAAATAGAATCTCTGCGACAACGGGCAATCAAGACACTGCCCATCTCTGGGCTCACAACCCAACACGCCATTCAGGTCCAAAAGCACTGTCAATGACTGCGGCTCCCGGGTAAGGGGTTGCCTCAGTTCAAGGGTTCTCCGACCGGGTGTGAAGCTAAGACAGTCTAGGCAAATTGGCGGCCCATCCCTGCCCTGGGCGCAATCTTTGCAGAAGATGTCACAGCATACCATGTACATGTCCTCCCACACTTGGTGCCCACCACAGCCTGCGCACTCCTCCGTATGAAGATCTCATGGGATCTTCTTGGAACTAGCCATCGTGTGTGCCTTAGCCGTGTCCTCCCTCTGATGCTGTTCCAGAAGAATTATCGTGTGTGCCTTAGCCGTGTCCTCTGATGCTGTTCCAAATTCTTCTCAGTCAGCTCCTGCCCGATCATCTCAATGGCAGCCCGTGAACGATCCGCACCCAAGCGCACAGCTCGATGAACGGCTGGTTCATCCTGCTCGCGAATGGCCGCTGCCAAAAAATCGTCCAACGGCATGGCAAAGGACTGTGGCTCACGTGCAGGATGGTCAAATCATGTTTGTATCTGTGTCTGCCAGCTCTCCTGGCACTTTCGGTTGACAATGCGCTGCGGGCTTTGGTGTGGCTTTGTCTTCAACAGGTGGGGGGGGGCAGCTGAACAGATCTTGAGCTTAAATGGTTGGAGTTGTCGTGGGCTTTGAACCTGCGGTGAGTTCTGCTGCGTTCCCTTCACCGACTGATCCCAAAATCTAAACTACCGTCTTGCACAGGCCGCAGCTCCAAAGTTTGGAGCTGTTTGGTCTCTGCGAGGATTCGTCTCCATAGACTTCATAGAGCGTCCTCCAGAGTGCTAGTGCTCTTCCTCGTTTACGCTGTTTCGGTTCACCCTAACTGGTGCTCTCTCTCTCTCTCTATACTAGTTGGAGTCTAGTGGCCTGGAAAGCCTCCAAAAACATGTACCTGACCCGACCCCGACATCGACATGTCTACATGATAGAATCTAGTAATGTTCTGGGTGCGACCTTCTTCCACAGGATTCCTACCAAACCAGAAAGGATCCACAATTTTTTTCTGGTTGGTATGTCATGTCCCATGGCCCGCCCCTCACGCAGGCGAACCGTCACACGCAACCGCTCTTCCACCCGGTGGCTGTTGAGGATGCTGGTGGCCACAGCACTGGTGGGCGTGACCAAGGGCATCGGCTCCTCCACAGTCTCCAGTGCCACCACAGCGGTGGCCTCAACAGGATGGAGTCCACCCCTGCCAGACCAAAGGAGTGGCTTAACGAAAGGTAGCCATCATGCATGTATCATGGGAGACGCAACCAATCATCCGCTCTTCAGCTACCCTTTTGCGACAATACCAACCCTAAACTGGGCATGTCACAACCGAAGACGTGGACGCCGCATGTCATAAGGGGGTCGATTGGTCGATCTGTGTTTCCTCTGGAAGAGGGGCGAAGAACTGGGGACGACCTCCCGGACTTCCAATACAAACCCGCTCCTGTGACCCAACTGAAAAACCCATCCGGTTCCCGGGTTGGACCCACATCCAGCAGGGGTTGGATGTAACCATGGGCTACCACCGCGAAAGCGAATGGCTTGAAGGAGGACTTGAGGAGGGTGAATCTACTGGAACATATTGGCCTCTCTTGACTGAGATCTGCTTATTTTGCTGATGATTGCCTACACATCTGGGGGTCACGACATACCAGGTATATATATATATATATATGTGTTCTTTTCGAGCAAATGTTCTTCTATAGGAGCTGATGATCCGTTCTTCAGTTGCTCTCCCCTTCTTCACGATGGTCGCAGTTCCACGAATCCGACAGCAAACAAACAAACAAACAGATCACCTGCCAAGCAGCCTGGTCCGACAAACCCAACCAGTTGGTCAGAGACACTTCCAGCTCGAGCCTTGACAGCGGAAACAAGGCCCTGTAGTAGGAGGGCAGGGTGCCCTACTACCCACCCCCACTAACCTTCCAGCAGATGAGGGCTTAGGGCACAAAATGGCTGGTTTATGGCAGTGGGCCTGGCAGCGATGAAGATGCAAACCAACCCGTAACCCACCCATTGTGAATGATGATTTGCAGGGACAGTCCTAGCTCACAAATAGTGAGTGGTGGGAATGGGGCAGTCCTAGCGAACAGCAGCTCCCCATGAAGGGTTCATGGCCAGTGGCACTTGGTTGAAGCTATCATCTTTTCTACGAGCGCCTTTAAAACCGCAGATCTACCTCCTGCAAAACCGAAAAGCCTGAATAATCTGAATAGAAGAGGGTATATTATGTCCTTTTGTGTGTGTGTGTTTGTTTTTGCGGCTGCACTCCAAATATCCACGTCCCCCCCTTCCTCTTCCTCGCAACTTCTCGCCAAATCCTCTCCAAGGCGCTGGATGGGCGTGGTGTAGAAGTTGTTCCCCATCCGTTGCTTCACAGCCTCCACCGCTGTGAAGAGCTCCAGCTGTGAGATCGGCAGCGAAAGCCTCCGAACCAGCTTCGGCGGCTTCGGCACATCGGGAGCGGGATCCGAACGAATGGACATGGTTTGCAGAACGTGCCTTCGATTCATGGGTGAACGTGATTGAAGCTCTCAGCAAAAGGAGGAAGTTTGCGTCTTCAGGTGCATGTCAGTCTATGGCTGCACACCGTTCCAGGAATGCAGGCAAACAAATCGTTCTAATGGCGTCTGTGGAAGGGCGATCGAAACCCAGCAACAACTCTTACAATAAAAATTGTTCGGATCGCCTTGGATAATGACAAGGTAACAAACACAGCACCTCGCAGACTTTTGGAGTTGTTCTGGAGAAGTGCACACCTTCATGAATGCCCTTCGCTTCGGAAGAAGAGAGCCTTTCCAAAATTCCAGGGAGCGAAAGGAACATGTCTAAAATCTGAATGTACCAAGGAAAATGGCCTTCCAGCAGTCCATGTTTCCACCAGCCTGAGGGGCAAGGAAGGCAAAACAAACATTCCCGGCTGCCAACACAGACGTCAGCCAAGACACTCACTGCCAGAGTTCACCTTGGCCTGCAGCACCCCACCGCCCATACCGGAAGAGGTTCCAAGTTTGTGCCAATGTGTCGGATCATACCCCGGCCGCCATTCTTTTTCGGTCAACCTTCTTAGGCCCTACAATTCTCTACATGTAGCCACTTTTGGAGTCATGGAGGTAGAAACACTGCATCTCCCGCGCGCCAAGTACATAACTTCGCCGAACTGCGCGCGTGTCCTGAATCTCACACCCTTCACCTTAAATCCGCCGACTCCAGGAGCGCTGAAAATCCGCCCATCCACCCCTTCCATTCTTGTTCTCCATCCGAAGAGAGACAGAATAAAAGAAATAGAAAATATACAATGAATTCAAATAAACATTGTATTATTCGTGGATATGAATTACTTATTGATGTTCCTAATAGAAAAAGAACAGAATATGAATGCAAAATCCCGTGGTAATTCCCAAATAGTAAAATACATAAATGGACATCGTAGAAGCAAAGAAAGTGAATCAATTTTATCAGGGATTATTTGTTTTTTTTGCATCCTATTCTCCATCTGTTATATTATTGTTCTTTGTGTGCAGTACAGTAACTCTCTTCTTAATCGAGATATAGTGTTGATTCAATGTACGAATTGTTCATCAACTAAAAGAACTGACAACTATCTACATCTGAAAAAGAAAAACAAAGGACCACCCCAACCTGCCCCAACCTGCCCGCACCGACTCACTTACCCAACACGCCACACTCCGCACAACAGCGCCTGCAGCTCGGTGGCCAGCTCCGCCGTGGTGCCGGCGCCCAGCGCCCAGCGGCTCACGAAGGGCCGCGCAGCGGCGCCCGCGGACGTCGCCGCCGAGGCCTCGAGGTGCGGCGGCGGCTCGACGGCGGCCGGAGCCGGAGTGGAGCGGAGTGTCCGATGGGAATCCATGGGAAGAATGGGGGTTTGGAGGTGAGGATGGTGATGTTAGCTTTTCGGGATTGGACAAGTGTTGTAGCAGAGGTGAACTTGAATCGATCAAGGTGGAGGTTCCGGAGAAGGTATTGATGTGCTTTGCGAGTTCCTGCTTCATCACATAGGGTTTGTGGCATAGTCATACATGGTCGTTGAATCTTCCTCTGAAGCAGTGAGTCAGTGGACATGCACTCATTCTAGGGGGTGCTCTCACAGGGGTCCATTGATGTTATTTGATGTTTGGATCCTGGCCCCGGAGTTTGGGAGGCTCGCTTAGTTGAAGGGGGTGTCTAGGATGTCTGGGACCCACTGTGGCCGAAGGGTGGAGGAGGCAATGCCAGATATTTTTCAAGTGGCCTTATAAGTGTCAAGGCTTCATTCCATTCCAGCAACTTTAAACAGCCGTGCTTATCCTGTGAGGCTCTCCATAAACTGGGGTGACTCCTCTTTAGCCACGCTGCAGTTGTTTGGTGGTTGTGTGCAGCGTCTCCTTACAGGAACTGGCTGATTGGAAGGAGTTCACCTGTCACACCTTCCCACCGCCTCAGAGTGTTCACGAAGCTTCCAGGGGGAAAACCGAGTGCACGCGCCGCGTTCGCCGCGTTCAACCAAGCCGCCGAGATCTCCGAACACGCCTGCACCGACAAGGGCGACACCAACAGGGCCTGGGTCGGCACCGGGACGCGCGGGACCGGAAAGAGAAGCTGTTTCTATTTAATTCTTGTTTCTAATAGCTTCTTGTTCCTAGTAGTAAGGCACTTGTTACTAGTAGCGATGCACTTGTTCCTAGTAGCTAAAGGACTCGTGCAAAAGCCTCACTCGACCGGCACACCTCCCTCAATCTTCCCGGACATCTCGATGTGTTTCGGCCATCTAGAGTTGATTCGTGTGTGTGTGTGCATACACTGCCATAGGTGACGTTCCAAGTATGCAAAAAGTGTCTGCCTTTTGGCTGGTTATATCATTATATATATAGATGAAAATGCAAAAGCGTTGCAGAGTCGATGATCTAGGCTTTTTTTGCACTCCACACACACCCCACCGTCTAACCCCCCCAGGCATGCTCTCCACCAAGCTGCCGCTTGGGGCTGCGCTGGTGGGTCGTTGCTGAAGACGGCCGCGCGGAGCGAGGGGGTCGGCGCCACCGGGCGCACCACCACGAAGGCGTTCGTGGTGAGCGCTCCGTCGATGGTCTCCACCGTGTCACCTAGAACCACCGTGAAGGGTCACCGGGCTCCGGTGGCGGGGGTCCGGAGGTGTTCAACTTCTTTAGCATCATGGACCATTTTGGTGAAAGCCTGAAAACCCGACGGCCTTCAGGGAAGATATGCCCAGCGCCAGCTGGGAGGTAATGAATCTCAGGCCCACAGGAGCCAAGCAAAAAAGCCACCAAGAAACAGAAAACAGATGCGCATCAATCCCCCAAAAGGGCTTGCCCGAATCCACTCCTCAGCATCTCCTTCCTCACACTCCAAGTGTTCCGCCTCTTTGGCTCCAAGTGCCCGAGTGGCTGAAGGTCAAGGTGGGGCTGGTGCCCAGCTTCACTTCCAGATTCCGCCCATCGGCCACCCAGCGGCAGGTCGGTTCCAGGCCCAGCCTCAGGTCGGGTAACCCGGGGTGGTGCCGAGCCATTCGGCATGGCCGGAGGACCACGCGAGTTGCTTGAGTCATGACGTGGTCAGGTTCCTAACCTGGTAACTCCAGCAAGGCCCACCCTGCCAAGCAGGACCCCCACCACGCGGCCCCCAAGTAGTCGCTCTCCACGGGCCATCCCATGAATGAAAGAACCGGGTCCAGTTCCAAGAAGGCACCATCACACACACCCGCTCACTTTATCATCACTCACCCTCACCCACTCGCCACATCAAGCGGCAAGGCCAGCGTGGCCGCCGTGAAGACCTCGCCACAGTTCACCTCCGCCGGCGGGAGCACCTGCTCTCCCGCCTGCAGCCGCCGCGCGTAGCTCGTGAGCATCGCCCGCTCGTTGAAGGTGAGCAGGAGCCTCGGGGATCATCGGCGCACGGTGGGACAGCCTGTTGGGTGGGAAGGAACATGAAGGAACCAACCTTCCATTGAGTTTAACTGATAGGTATATGATGTAGTAGTTGACCACATGCACCCTCAGAACCACAGGTGCAATGGAAGTGCTCTTGAAGGGGTTAATCAGCCTATTGCATCACTTCTCATATCAGTGGTGTTGATGTCACCCCCTCTGAGAACAGTGGCAGCAACTCAAACCTTTCCCTTCCCAAAATCTCTATTTCACGTCAACCACCCCCACCACTGCCACTCCTCTTTCCCAATTTCAATCCAAGCTCCAAAAACTGCCATTGGCAATGAGATGTGTTTCATTGGTAAGAGCATGTAGCCCAAAACGAGGATCTCCCACCGCCCTCGAGGATCTCACCTCTTCATCCCCACACGTCTAAGCCACGTGGAGTATCCCTGCGTCAACTCCGCGGACTCCAACAGCAGCGGAAAGAGCCTCCGCAGACGCACAAATCGGGCACCCCACCGTGGTGTGGAAGGGCTTTCAGGGGCGGGAGTCGTGTCAGCAAGGTGTGTGTCTGTGTCTGTGTCTGTGTGGTGTATATGTGGTCCCTGACGATCTACTTTCTTCGAGGTTTCACCTCCAAAGGCATCTGAAAGGCTGAAGTTTGGAGCTCAACACCGGGACCCACCTTGAAAACGGGCAATGATGGAAATGGAACGACAATATCTGTATGAGCATGCCCTACCTAAATGGAACTTGGACAGTCTGTATGAGTCGCCCGGTTCTCCTTCCAGAACCCCTCCCAGGGCGACCGCCGAACGGGCTCTACTGGGCTGCCCTGCGTGGTGCTGGTGGAGCTGCTGGTGGAGCTGCTCGAAGTGGTGGAGCTGGACGTGGTGACCTCAAAACGCCACCGTCTTCGACGGCTCGACAGGGATCCGAGCGCCATCCGAGCGCCCCGTTGGGCCGGATGAGTTATGCCAGCGAAGTGCTGTGGTATGCCTGTCCACATCACGAGCTCTTTGCTCAGCCACTTAGGAATTCAGCGATGGCCAAGGCAACTCACCATGAGCAATTGAGTGCATCTGATCATTGATTCCCATCTGCTTTCCACACATCCATCTCCAAGGCACCCTCCAACTCTACAAACCCATACCACCAGCATTTTTGCAGCATACTCCACCTCTTCTTCGCACCCACCGAGGCGCCGTGGTGGTGGATGAGGTGGTGAAGGTCGTGGTGCTGGAGATGAGTGAGATCGACACCTCGCACTGAGGTCCAAGGTGACGGGGCCGGACCGAGGTCTATCACTCTATGCCACCGTCCATGCCCTGGAGGGAGTAGGAAGGGTAGGAAAGGGAATGGAGCGGAATGGTGCGAAGCAAAGCCTGCTGAAAGAATGTTGGATCATTTCACTAGAACTTTAGCACAAACATCCCGGCGGAATTATTACCGCCCCACGATTTTTGTCTTTTTCTCTGTTTCGCTGCAGCGACTGCTGATTTTTGAGAAAGAAAAAAGGGTTCAAAAAAATGTCGGTTTTTTTTGCGTTGTGCAACCCTTACAGCATTTTCTTGGCAAAAAGGGGTCCCCATCGGCACGTTCGTTTTTTGAATTTTGACCACATTTTGGAAAAAAAAAGTTTATGCTTTGTCACGTTTCCACAGATGAACCTATTTGAAAAAAGAGTCCTCCGGGCCATTCAGACCGTTGATGAAACATGATTCATGGACAGGATCAGTAAAATGAAGGTCTTTGACCTGTAGGGAAATGAACATGCAGCATGACATCTAACTTACCTTAGGTTAGTAGTAGTAGTGGTGGTAGTAGTAGTAATTAATAGATAGTATTTTGTAGTTAGTGCCTAGCATTGAGTAGTGGTTAGCAGTTGTAGTTCGATATGAATATATCCTGACGGGTTTTAAACACGCAAGCGCGCAAGCAAACAAATATGCGCAACACAGCATGCGTACTAGTATTGTGTAGCAACGTAGAAGGGTTTCTTATTTATGAGTGGGCAAACCGAACCTTGACATGCCATCCGAACAAAAGATATGAATAAATCCAGACGGGTTTTAAACAAGCAAACGCAAGCTAGCCAAAATGCGCAACCAAGCACGCGTACTCGTATTGTGTAGCCACGTAGAAGGGTTTCTTCTGTATGAATGTGTAATTTGAACCGAACGTTAACATCCCACCCCACCCCACCCTTCCCCACCCCAACCCCCACCCCACTCTCAGTCTCTCAGCCGCTCGCATTGTGTGGCAACGTAGAAGGGTTTCATCTGTATGAATGTGTAATTAATTTGAACCGAACGTTAACATCCCACCCCACCCCACCCTTCC